CTCCACCCTGAAAGTTTATGTCACTGCAATTGCTGCTAACCACGACACCGTACAAGGGAGGTCGCTGGGGAAGCATGACCTGGTCGTCAGGTTCCTTAAGTGGGCGAGAAGGTTAAATCCTCCGCCCTCTATACCCTCTTGGGACCTGACTCTAGTGCTCACGGCACTACAGCAGGGCCCATTTGAGCCTTTTGCAGACGGTTGAGCTGAAGTTCCTCTCAATGAAGACCCATCAAGAGGGTAGGGGACCTGCATGCATTTTCGGTCAACGATTTGTGCCTAGAGTTCGGGTTCCCAGGTGTCCCGGCCCGGCTATGTGCCCAAGGTTCCCGCTACTCCCTTCAGGGATCAGGTGGTGAACCTCCAAGCGATCAGGCACAGGGTGTGCCCTGCCCGTTCAGGTTGCGAGCTCACTCAACTAGAGGTGTTGCAATCATTATTGCTGCTATTATATGTTGCTATTATTGTTATGAAATAGACAAAAAATATAGTAATATAATAAGATAACCAAGATAATAAGATAAATAAGATTTTTAGAAAGTTTTTAACAGTTTAACAGTTGTGCCAGTGAAATGTTTTGATGGTGCCAGAAAAATATCATTTTGGTAACAGGGAAACATTAAAGTTGCCATGTCTGATCATTGCGGTTAAACTTGCAAATATTTTAGACACCTGTGCAAATGGAACAGGTGCAATATGCACATGTTTAGCAGTGTATAAAGTTTGGGAGGTGTGAATTCCAGGGCTCTTACTACTTTAATAACTGGCAGGGTGGTTTGCCAACACCCCACACAATGATACATCTGTTCAGCTGGCTTCTATAGCACAGGCCCAAATGACCTTTGCAGCAGGAGGGCTGGGCAGACCGAACTCGCCAGATCACAAAGGACACAGAGGACATTAATCATGCCATGAGAGGAAGAATATGTTTATAAAACTACAGCACTGCATTTCAAATATCCTAACGCACTACGGAAAGTTGAACAGGATTACATGCTTCAAGCTGGAAAGAAGTTTCTGTCCAAGTGTAAAGGTGAATTAATTGCATGTCCATCATGGAACAGATTTAATAGATTCAATTAGAAGCATTATAACCCAGCTCACACACCAATGCACACGGAAGAGTCTCAGAGCCACATCACTGTAACAATGCAGAAGCACCTGGTACTAATACATATTTATAATGATGTTTTGCAAAGTGCCTCAATATGGTTAAAATAATACACAGGGAGAAATTAAGACATAATATGCTTGACGAGGCAAGTTAATATTCAATGATTACACCTCGTCGCTTCCTCTAAATATAGCACACGTTCAAATGCCACATCCAATCACTCACTCTCTCTAATCTGAAAGGACACAATACATTGACTAGCACTTTGAAATCCTCTGAAATGGATAAGCAGAAAATTTGGAAAAGTTCATAATGACACCTGCTAAATATTTAGGACTATACTGAGAATCATCTAATTCATAATCAGCATCTTTGCCTTTTTCTGATAAATTTAGCTGAGAAGAAAAATTGCCATAATAAGACAATAAGACTTGTTTTAGATAAAATATTTTGTTTTTAGAGAAAAATTATTTTCTTGTTCCACTGGTATTTTTTGTCCAATTATGCTATATTTTTTTATACTTTAATTTTATATTATAAATGTATTATTTGATTTCATATTTTCTAACAACTATTTTTGCATTGCAAAAACTCTTATTTCTAAAGTTTGCTTGCTGTGGATGCCTTAGTTGGTTTGTGATTTCCATACTAAAATTCAAACTGAGAGACAGATTGGATTCTCGCTAATTAATCTTCTGCATCTTTTTTTCCACTTTGTTGAAAATGGCTCTTATTTCTAAAGTTTGCTTGCTGTGGATGCCTTAGTTGGTTTGTGATTTCCATACTAAAATTCAAACTGAGAGACAGATTGGATTCTTGCTAATTAATCTTCTGCATCTTTTTTTCCACTTTGTTGAAAATGGCACGTGTTGTCAGCATAATGATACAGGTAACCAAGCGTAGAAGTGAAGACATATTTGAGGTGACTGAGCTTCTCTTAATTAAGGATGAAGAAAAAAAAGCTACCACACAAATTCTCATAAAAAGGATATTTAAGAAAAAACTGATTCAAACAGAAGTTCAACATTAACATTAGCAACAGCTTATTTTGTTGTTTTATTCCCTCATCTGTACAGCAATTATGAATTCACATGGAGTAGGAACTCACTCTGAGGCTTAACATCATGCATCAGCTTCCCATCTGCAGGGAAAAAGAGACAGAACAAGAGAAAGAGAGGGAGAGAGAATTACAGTCCATCCCTGTAATACTTATTACAAATCTGCTATCCGATTCACATCACGGGTAGATGTCCAACTGCAGGCTGTGCCAACATCAGCTGTGGATACTGTTGCTCGGCATTGTTGCCATGGGAAGCTACTGGCAGATGGTTTTGGATCACTTAGGCTGCAGGATGTTTCCATCCTTCATTAAGGAGGAGAAATCTGAGAGGGTTCTCATCATAACAGCTACGAGGGAGATATTGAGAGGGACACGGGGCATGATGCCTTCACTTTCATCCACTTTTAGCAGACAATTATCACAGTTCCCGAAACATTGCAATTCACATGCTTGAGCTTTGTGTCAAGGACCAAGTGAGCAATAGCATGACCAACACGCGATGACGATGACACTGTTGTCATCGATGAAATGACTTGTTTATGACATAATACGCCATTTGCACATACTCACTTTGCGTACACAGTCCTCCCGTGCAGTTCTCAGTGCTTTGACCTTCTCCCTCACACATCTTGCCTCTGTGACGAGGCGGTGGAGCGTTGCACTCCCTCCATCGCTGCATCTCACACTGCGTGCTACACATCGTCCATTCGCTCCACTCCTCCCAGACTCCATCCACTGCAGAGCACACAACGGGGTTGCCGTTTAAGGAAGGTGAACAGCTGCTCTGTGCATTCACTGCACTCGGCAATGAACGTATGAGATCTCTAGAGACTTCATAAACTTAATTAAAAGTGTTTTAATGGTCCAACTCTTGACCACCCTGGCGGGGCTACACACATTACATCAACATATTTTAAGCCAATTGATCAAATTCTCAATATTATCTCAATATAATAATAGATTTCTATTTGTATTTGTATTTCCATTTTCTATTTCGAATACTGAAAAGAAAATAATCATGGTTTCCACAAAAATATTAGTTTTCAACTGAGATAATAAGAAATGTTTCTTGAGCATCAAAGCAACATTTTATAATGATTTCTGAGGGATCATGTGGCACTAAAGCGTAATGGCTGCTGAAAATTCAGCTTTGGCATCACATGAATACATTACATTTTAAAATATATTCAAATAGAAAACATTTATTTTAAATTGTAAAGACATTTTACAATATTACTGTTTTTACAGTAAAAAATCTTACCAACATCAATCTTTTGTATGGTAGCGTAACACTGTAACAAGCTGAATACGCAAAGGCACTTATGTTGTTCATAATGTTTTGCTGCACATTATGTGAATAAAATAAATACTGTGAGATTTAACTCTACCCAATTGGACAGATGCTTAAGAGGTTTTAGAAATTAATTATAAACAATGAATCAACATGGTATATTGTGCAATTTAATTAACATTTAAAAAATAACTATTCTCAACTAATTACTGGTATGATTTTTAATCAAAGGAATTCATTTTTGCAGCACAACCTAAAAGACATTTGAGAATACTATGAACATGTTTTCCTATTGAATTTAATTTCTACAAAAAATACTTTGTATTTTAATTGCCATCATGTACCATATATAAACTCAATGCATGATTAATTAAGAATTAAACAAATTAAATGTGTTTGACACATTTGAAGCCTAACTGTGAACAAATTATTAAATAAAGTGAAAAGATTAAAATGTATTATGCAAACCAACAGTAATCATGCATGGTCGGATGAAAAAAAAACTGGTTCACAAATTTATTTAAATATCACGAAGTCAAGAAAACAACTGAGTGCAACATGAATGTATTTGTATTTCCATTTTCTATTTCGAATACTGAAAAGAAAATAATCATGGTTTCTACAAAAATATTAGTTTTCAACTGAGATAATAAGAAATGTTTCTTGAGCATCAAAGCAACATTTTATAATGATTTCTGAGGGATCATGTGGCACTAAAGCGTAATGGCTGCTGAAAATTCAGCTTTGGCATCACATGAATACATTACATTTTAAAATATATTCAAATAGAAAACATTTATTTTAAATTGTAATGACATTTTACAATATTACTGTTTTTACAGTAAAAAATCTTACCAACATCAATCTTTTGTATGGTAGCGTAACACTGTAACAAGCTGAATACGCAAAGGCACTTATGTTGTTCATAATGTTTTGCTGCACATTATGTGAATAAAATAAATACTGTGAGATTTAACTCTACCCAATTGGACAGATGCTTAAGAGGTTTTAGAAATTAATTATAAACAATGAATCAACATGGTATATTGTGCAATTTAATTAACATTTAAAAAATAACTATTCTCAACTAATTACTGGTATGATTTTTAATCAAAGGAATTCATTTTTGCAGCACAACCTAAAAGACATTTGAGAATACTATGAACATGTTTTCCTATTGAATTTAATTTCTACAAAAAATACTTTGTATTTTAATTGCCATCATGTACCATATATAAACTCAATGCATGATTAATTAAGAATTAAACAAATTAAATGTGTTTGACACATTTGAAGCCTAACTGTGAACAAATTATTAAATAAAGTGAAAAGATTAAAATGTATTATGCAAACCAACAGTAATCATGCATGGTCGGATGAAA